ATAAATAGTTGTCGATATACTGTATTATGCAGGCTGACTTGTGAGAATGCAATTATTATTGGAAAACATTTATTATGTTATGTTTTTTCATACAGGGGAACATTTTATATATTATTCTCAAGCATATGATGCAAGTTTGTTTTGTTGAAAAATCCCTGTCGTACCTTATAAGACTAACTTATGGTACAGGATGACCTCTATAGGAAGAAGATAAAATTCTTGTGGTGGCTATTGAATCATTGTAACAACGTGAAGGAGCGTGAAGCCATGTCCTTCTTAGAAAAATCCCAAGGAAGAAGAGGAAATAGAAGATTATTGATAGAACTTTAGGATATAACTTTATTGATAATCATGTCCTTTTGTATAGTTAGCTCATTTTGTGTAGTTAACTTAGACAATGCTGTTATGAATGTTGATTACAAGTTTATAAATGTGGCAAATAGTTTGTTTTATTAATTAAATGTTGACAAGTGGCCAGCTGAGATTGACAAGTGGTTTTCAATTTATTGATAAGCTATGCATTACCATTGGCTAGTGCCGATACATTAGATGCTATTATTCCCTTTAAAAATTAACAAGTTACAAGAACCTATTGATTACTTGCCGTTGGCAATTGATAAGTGGTTATCATTATATTGACAAGCTATGCATTTACCATTGACAAGTGTTGATATATTAGATGCTATTATTTCCTTTAAAAATTAATAAGTTACAAAAATCTATTGATTATTTACTGTTGGCAATTGAGAAGTGGTTATCACTATGTTGACAAGCTATGCATTCGCCATTAATAAATGCTGATATATTGAGTGCTGTTATTTCCTTTAAAAATCAACCAGTAATAAGAACTTGTTGACTACTTGCTAATGACCATTGACTATAAGTTATAACTATATTGACAAACTATACGTTCACCATTGACAAGTGCTAATACATTAGGTGCTGTTATTCCCTTTAAAAATAAACCAATTATAAGAATTTATTGACTACTTGCCATTGGCCATTGACTATAAGTTATAACTATATTGACAAACTATACATTCACCATTGACAAGTGCTGATACATTAGGTGCTGTTATTTCATTTAAAAATCAACCAATTACAAGAACCTATTGACTACTTGCCATTGGCCATTGACTACAAGTTATCACTATATTGACAAGCTATGCATTTTTTGTTGACAAGTGCTGATACATTAGGTACAATAATTCTCTTTAAAAATCAAACACTTATAAGAACTTGTTGACTACTTGCCATTGGTCATTGACTACAAGTTATTACTTCATTGACAAGTGCTGATACATTAAGTGCAATAAACAAAAAAAATTGTAAGTCTTGAAAGTATGACCAACTCATGACATCTTGCATAGTGACAAATCCTTTTGTTTTGAAATTGAGATTTTCTTCTTTTACTCTTTGGCCCACTTGAAGGCCTTATAGTCATTAGTGGCTTCAAGCATGTTTGGGTTAATAAATTTATCACTGTCAATGCTTCTAGACATGAATAGTCATGTGTGGCTACCGGCCTCATGGTGCTGGTATATATCTTCTGTTGAGCAGTAACATTCATCCACAAAATTGTACACATTGCCATAAACTAGCTTAATTGTTGCACATGCATGTATATAAGGTATTCTACTCATTTTCCATGTTAAACAAGAGCATGTATGTGGTACTCATTTGATGATATCATTCTTATCAACTTTTCATACATACCCTTCCTTTATTGTTCTTGTTCTAACACTCTCCCAACATATTGTATACTTTCTTGGTCATCATTTTGAAAATGTTCCTTATATGAAAAAAACGTAATATATGTTCTTTAGAAGAACTTGCCATCTTACAGGTCAATTACGCCACACATAGTGTATTGATAACTACACATAGCATAATGACAACATATTTATCTACTATTGATGAGATATAGTATTGTTTCATAACATAGATTTTTCAATAAAACAAGCGTGCATCATATGCTTGGGAATAATATATAAAATGTCCCCCTATATAAAAAACCATAACATAATACATATTTTTTAGTAGTATTTGCATTCTTACAAGTCAACCTGCATAATACAGTATATCAACAACTATCCATAACATATTGACAACACAAGAATGCATTATTGACAACATGTAAAGTTATTCGTATCATATATTTTTCAATGTATCAATATTGCATTAGATTATTCCATACCTATTAGCTATGCAAACCGAATGATCGCAGGTATATCCAAAAAGCATTGTCCTACCCTTAAACAATAATGAAATAATTAACGCACAAGAAATCATTTATCTGCTCAACAATCACTGTATTGTTTTCTGTCGATGAAATCCTGCAGTTGCGAATGAAACACTCCCACCCCGCTTAGATGAAGACAACGGTAATAATCATGGATATGAGAAAGTGAAATTTACCCTATCGTGATCAATAATAATAGATATGCAGCAATTTTCAGTATCGCTGATCATAAGTTTCGTGAGATATGCATTCAAGCAAAATTTTCCTTTTAATAGTAAAAGGCAAATTGATAATTTTATTTTCAAATTTATTCATCCTTAAATTCTTGAAGATCTAGCAGCTATTTAATAAATTTTTAAAATTTTAACATATTTTAATTATTTTTATGGAATCTTAAAGTGATGTTCCTAATTATATATTAAAGATGAAACTAAAGTCATTATTTTTTTTTTTAGTAGAATGGGAAAATGCGAAAGCACCACGCACTCATTTGCCTGCTATACAGCTGGCAAACAATGATTTTGCCAAAAGGAAAAAGAAAAGATAAAAAAAAGAAAAAAGACTGCTATTACCATATATTTTGTAAAAAGCAACGTGATTCCCAGTTATTAGTTTCGGTCTGATACAAAAATTTAATACAAGTTGTCTCCCGACGACAGACATCATCTCGGCCACGTGCCACCTGCTACTCCGCGGTCCTACCATATTCAATTAGGCGTAACTTCTTACGCACAATTCCAAATTCTTTCTCGTGGCAACTTCATCCTCATAACTTTTTATAACGTGAACATAATATAGTTATTAGTTTCGGTCTGATACAAAAATTCTTTCTCATGACATCTTTATCCACTCAGACTCATCTTGGGTCACCAAATAACATTTTTCAAACATCTAACCCCCCCCCCCAACTCACAAACCAAGGCTAATAATACTAATATGTATATCACTTGACCACGTACAAAAGCATAAAACCACTTGCACAAATTAGAGTCGTTTAATTTTATAAGTTGGGTTACAACCATTTTAATACAAGTATGAGAAAAAACTTGAAATAATTTATCATAATTAAGAATCATTTCTGTAAAAGACCATTTTTTTAATAATGATATTTAAGTTAAAGCAAAGAAAAAAAAAAGGCTTTGTTTTTCCCATTGGAAGAAGCCCTGTTCCCCCCTCCCCCAAATTGTAACTTGTAAGTTCCACTTAAACCAATCTCGTTTATCTATCAGGAAGAAATGAACAAAACAAAACATCAAAACATCATCAAGCCATTTATTCTTCTAAAACAAAACATTATCACCATATCTTATATCCCATATAATATGACTTTGGGAAATTTTTAACAATAGCACCCTGGGCTAGATCTGCTTTCCTGATCATACACTTGCCGCTCAATATTTGAGCACACAAGCTGTGTCTTGATTAATAATCACATTCCAAATGGCCCAGCTAAGAAGTGCTTCATTCATTTTAATAATCCCATGAAGCCCAAATCCGCCTTTCTCTTTGGTCTCACAAAGCGTATCCCAGCTTATGGCATGAATTTCCTGATGTTTGGAGGTAGAGTTTCCAAATAAACTCTCTTTGAATTTTTTTCAAGTTCTTTAATTGCACACCGAAACAGGAACCTTGCTGGTTGTATGTGGTAAATTGAGAGTTTGTGAAGTCATTGACTGGACAAGAGTCATCAACCTTCCTGCAAAGTGAAAGAGTATTTGCATTTTATCAATCAGAAATTTGAAATTTTGCGAGCCTACCATGAGAGGCTTTCCACAAACTCACTTAGATCTAACAGAGGCATAAACACAAACATTGAGTGTCCTTTTGAGCGTGAGAGTGAGGATACGATTCTTTGTATTCTCCGTGACTGTGAATGTGCTAGATAAGTCTTGAATTTTTTACTTAACCATACTTTTGTGCACAATTTCTTTCTCTGTGACAATTTACAGGTTTGGATACATTGGAACATGCAACATAACCCTGGAGGCGGATTCTCTAGCGAAAAATGCTCACTTGCTGGATCAACATATTGAATTACTTCAGGCTTCACCTGATACTATCTTGGCGGCATTCTACCTCGAAGATCAACGTACGTGCTCAAGATACTTAGACCTGTTTAATTAGTCTTTTTTCTGTTTTTTTGCTTTTGTCTTGGCTTCTTTTCTCGAGTCTTTGTAATTGCTTTTATATTTTTCTTTTAAAAAGTATTTGCTTTTTATTACAGACTGATTTATGTTGATGGAATCTCCTCTTTTGATGGCGAAGGAAAAAGAGGTTCTACTAAAGTCCTTAAACAAAATCCTATAAGATCGAAGTAGTATATTTTCTCCATGAGAAAATCCAAAATATGTTCTAAAAAATAAAAATGCAACAATAAGATTATTTTTGGTGTAAAGGAAAAATTCAAAATTATCTCACCCATGATTGGCTGGGGAGAGGGATCTCTCCACCCTTTTTCCTCATTTTTTTTCCTATTTTTCAATTATGATATTAATTTCATTTTTTTAAATGAATTTAATAGATGATTTTTTTTTTGAGCAAAGAATTTAATAGATGATTATGATGAAAAAATATAGAGAAAAAAAGAGAAAAGAAGTGCACAACCCCTCTCCCCGTTGGATTGCTAATTGCCATACAGCTGGCAAGAAAATGATAAAAGAAAAAAGAAAAAAGAACAAAAGGAAAAAAAAAAAAAAAAAAGACTGCCACAGATACTGAATACGTTTACTTTACTTGCACCAACTCAGAATTTTGGTTTTTAAAACCAGAAAAGCAACATGATTCCGAGCCATAAAGTTGTATCCCGACCCCATCTCGGCCCTGCGCCGCCTACTACACCGGTTTCCGGCGACGGCGACTGCGCTGGTGATAACTCACTTGAATCGGATTTTGCACCGTAGAACTGCTGAATCCTCTCCAACTCATCTTTCGCAAAATCCACTTTCCTTTTCTTCGATGCCAAATTGAAAGGGTACATAACTGCCTCCTCTATCGCCGAGTGGCTCAGTCCTAGCACGTGACCGATCTGGTGCATCACCACCGTCTCCAGATCCAGTTCGTCGCTCTCCGTCGAGTTCTGACTCGGTAACACCCACTTCTCATCAACGTCCAAAACGATACCCCAGCTCATCGTCGTTTTATCCAACCAGCCGCCTCCTACCAGTCCTAACTGCCCATCCAGCGACAGGAACATGATTCGAATATCAGATTCATTAAACGACGTCGTCTCTGTAAAATTCAACCTCGTCACCACAGACCACCGACTGAAGGCGTCCGAGAACACAACCTTTAACGACGTCGTCATCGTCTCATTTTCAGGTGAAAAAGCATAAGTAAACTCTATCTTCCCCTCCTGCCACCACTTGGTAAACGGCGTCGTACTATTCTCCGTCACAGTGATGGATCCATTTATAACGTCAGGAAAGCCGCATCGTGGTAGCGTGATCAACGACGCAGTGGCGTTGTCGGGCTGGCCGGTGGCGTTGAGGTGGAAAGTCTTCTGAAAGTATTTAATGGCTGATTCGAGCTCGGCGGAGAATTCATCGGTGAAATTTGAATTCAAAGTGGAATTAAGGTAACCGAACAACTGAAAATAGTCTTGAAGCCTGGATATGCCGTCGACGACGTCTCCTGTTCGAAGACGACCACCATGGCCACGCAAGAATGATCTCAATTGATCCCATACTTTGGAAATCTTGCTAAAATTTACTGTTCTGAGGGTTCTGAATATTCTGAGCCACAACGGTATACTGAACAATATATTAGCTGAAGCTGGTCGGAGAAGAAACGGGGAAGATTCATCAACAACTAGAAGGGATAAAATCAAGACCAGAATGTAAGCTCTTCTCAACCTCATGTTTATGTGCTTTCTGCTTGGCAGAAGAGAAAATTTGAGTGGCTATTAATAGCACTGGAAAATGATAGTTTATTTCTGTAAGTGTTACTTCCACTTTTGTATAATAATATCATTTTTAATCTTATCTATAATATATTAATATTGTTATTAGCCTCATTTAATGACGTCAGCGAAATGACCTATACTCGACTACTTTAGTTTCCATGGGCATCGATATCAACATGACATTACATCTGCATGCCAAGTTGCCGACAGAAAAACAGGGAACTTTATGAGGCTCTGTAAAAGGACAAGCGATGCATGAATTTGTGTGTGTGTGTATATTATTTAAGAGAACATTTTTTTTAGAAAAAATTGAGATTCATGAATTTCTATGAAATTTTTTCTTATATTTTTTATTTTATTATTTTTATAAAAAATAAAATATTTTCTTTTCCGTGAAAAAAACTTCATAAAATTCACATGTTCTTAAATTTAAAAGATCCATTTCCATTATTTAATATTATCATTTATATAAATGCAGTGTGTATACTTCTTGGTAAACAAAAACATAGTGTGTTCTTGTTTATATATACTAGAGTATCAGAAAGCCTAGCTAGTCAAGTCAGTGTTAAAATTTTAAGCTTGACTTGTAAAGCTAATTTAAGAAAAATTAAATCTAGATCACTCATAAGACGTGTTCACATTTAATCATTGACTGCACCTCCAATAATTTTACCTATAGGAGGACACGTGTGTGTAATAAATTATTTAAAATTTTTCATTAAGTATATCTTCATTTATTTTTATGGTGTTAACCGATTAAATAAAATATCTGTTTTTGGAATTTTAAGATTTAGAATAATTAATTTAATTTTTAATTATTTATAAATAATTTTATCTATTAACAAATATAATTAAAAGAAATTATTTTATCACATGTTATTATTATAAATTAAATAATTATTAAAACACTGTTCCAAAGCAAAGATGAAAAGGACGATCGACAAACATGAGAGGTGGTGGATTTTAATAATATTATATTCCTATTTTGATCTTTTCTATCTTTTACATAGGCCAAGCAATTTTTCTCTCATCAACATCCTTCCTTTCTTTGGATGTCAAACGTCACTATTTTAACCAAATCTTTCCATTCCTTTCCTTTCATTTTGCTTCCCTTCAAAAAAAACCAGCCCTTAATATTATTAGGAAAATAAATCTCTCGTCCTTATAATGTAGCTCAATTATTTGTAATTACGTTCTGACAATTTAAAATGTTTTCAATGAAGTCCTTATAAGTTTATCTGTTAGAGGCATTAGTCCTTGACCTTTAATATTGTTTAATTTTTTTCTGATGTGGCTAACTGTTGTCAGACGTGGCTACCAGGTAGATAAAGCATTTGAACGCTCATTATTTTAAAACTTTTTTCAAGCTTGAGGGTGTCTCACTGGATTACTAGCTTGAGGCCTAGATCTACCAGCCTTAATTTAATTGAAATATTTAGATGTGATCGTGACACAATCCTTTGAGCTGCTATTTGATCCCGCCACCATAGCTTCAAGCTTTAATTTCCTTCGAGCTAAGAAGATTGCATGTAAAGAAGATCTCATGTCTTTATGTGACCAAATGGTTTCCTCTTTGTTGGATCCAGATTTAGCAAAGAGATCGAAAAACTTTTCTCCCTGTCCCTGAATAATTTTCTCTTTGCCAGGTTCAACTATATCCTTATCGTGAGCCTCATATCAAGAAATTTTGCAAGCCAAGTGGCTTTATAAATCTTTTGAGACGAGCTTTTTCTTTAAATTTGATATTTAAAACTAAATCAAGTATCGTGAAATGAAGTTGATCTTTTAAAATGAATTCTCTTATTAAATTTGTGCTCATAAATTTCAAATGAAAGTCAATTTAGGGATATCAAATGTGTTAATTTTTCCACTTTCACTTTTCTAGGCTTAGCTCAATCCTGCCAAACGAGCTCCTAATCTTCATAATTTTTTGCAAATAATAGGTCATAACAACGCTCTCTTTGTAGCCAAAAGTGCATAATAGTTCTAATAGGAAGACGAGCACGTGAGTTTTATTCAAATAGCAACTAATTATATAGAGTCATTTTGGACGGCTAATAATGGTTAGGAAATGGCGGGGCTCAATAATGAACAAACGTCTAATAATAAAACCACTGAAGCTTCCAATGATAGTTGCAGTGGAATGCAATAATTATGTAATACACTATTGTGCTGCTGATACATTCCGTTGTCTTTATGTGTGTTTGGAGAAGGGAAATAATCTATCTTTTATCCCAAAATTAATTTTTTGAGCCAATTTATCCAAACAGTAAAAAAAAAGTCACAAATCAATTATGGGCTAAGACGCATGTTTTTCTATACTCTCAGTTAGCTTCTTGCGAAAAGTTGATCAAAAGTATTGAAAAAAATTATAAAGAAAGACCCAAAAAAAAATTATAAAAAAGACACAACATTAAATAAAAAATAAAAGCACACTCTCTTTTCTTAACTTTTTTTCTTAATAAAATTCAAATTTTGTATTCTCAAAAAACTGATGTTTGGTATTTAAGAATTAAATTATATAGTAATTTATATGGTTAAAATTGATTCTGATTAAATTATTCAAGATCTGTTAAAATTAATTTCAAAAAAATAGCATCCAAATAGATTGCCTTATAACATAATCAATTATGATTAAAATTTATCATTTAATCAATTATTTTTATAATCTATTACATTCAATTAAAATTCAAACAGTCAATTTGTAATTAATAAGATATATTTAAATTTCAACTAAAGTGTGTGATTAAAATACATTATAGCGCCATTTTTTGCTTGAGTTACTTTTTCACAAATTTTATATTTTGGAGATATATAATTTATAATGTGCATTCATTTTTCAGACTTCATGATTAAAAATATTGCACCAAGAAATTTAAGAGAAATAAACTTTACTGCATTCATGTACATCGTATAAAGTGTTAAAAAAAAAAAAAAGATGTAATACACTTCATTAGCATCCAAATTATGTGTTGAGCAGCAAAGTTTGAAAAATGAGTATTAGGCCTAACCCATTAAAAGGTCAAACTAAGACCTATCTAAGGTGCGCTGCCCGGTGCCTACCTAGCCCATATGTTGATAAGCTTTTTAAATTGTTAAACATGATTCTGATAATAAAAAGAGCTTTTTTCTGTTATTAAAAAAAAGGCTTTTGTTTTATATTTACTTTTAAGTACATGCTTTTGTTGAAAACTTGGTTCTTTATTCGATTTTTATTTTTTAATTGACATGCCATTTAGTATTGGTAGAAAAATTAAATAAAATAGTTTGCAGACTTGTAATTACAAGTTATGAGATTAAGGGTTAAATAACAAAAATTGCCATTAACTTTTTTTCCCCATATGCACGGCGTTGGTTGGTAACACCTAGCTCTTGTTAGAGTTCAAACAGACATCCTAGTTTCTTGTGGCGCTTCGACTAGTCGCCGCCTACCACCGCTCTCTTCTGGCGATCCCATGACAAGAGCACAATTCAAATGTCAGATTCGTTCCATGCTGGCGACTCTGTGAAGGACAATCTCATCACCTTCAACCACCAGTCAAAGGCATTTGTGACCGTTATCAATCATTTTAAGAATGATACCCTCATCTGACATCAATGCACAGAAAAAGTTATGGTAATATTCAGTCATAATGTTATTATGGTTTTAGTCATAATGTTATTATGGTTTTAGTCATATAATAGTTGTGTTTTTAAATTTTAAATTAAAGATGTAAATTTATAAAATTAAATTCTTTTAAGGGTTATTACGAACAGATAATATCATAACAAATGAACTCATTCTCATTAATCAAAGAGATGGTATATATCTAGAGAAAGGTCCGTAAATGAGAAATAAACTAACAGACGAAACAAACTTACTAACTAGCACAACTAGCTTTTAAGTCACAAACTGTTAAACTGTTGAAAAAGAATTACTCATTAGAAGATTTTACATCATGGAAGGGTCTTGCAATGATATTCTCTCTTTTTTTATTCTAGGGAAAATCATAGTGAAGGACCTTTGGAGCGTTTTATTAAGAAATTATTCTAGGGAAAACCGCAATAAATGGTAAGTCATAAGGCAATTTAGTGAGGGTCTTATTATGTTGCAAAGGAGTAGCCGCTCGAGAATGGTTAGGTGGGAGATGAGAGAGAGGGGAATGACGTTCAGTATGAATAGGGTAGTTATATTAGGAATGCACTATCCTCAAAAAGGGTCATGTTGATTGTGAATTGACTCCTTTCTTTCTATTATCCTCTATGAACTTTCTTTCTATTTTTCCTTTCGGATGCTTTTCTCTATAATTGGTTATTACTGGTGACCTTTTCCTCAGCTAATAAAAGAATTATCTCGAGCTGGTTTATCCTCATCTTGAAGTAATCACTGATTGTTTTCTTGAGTATGTGACAAATGTGCTTTGATTAAGATAAACCATGGCAAAGAACACTGGATTGAAGGAGCTGACAAACCATGCAAAGAGCTTACAAGACGATATGCAAATTCTAAGAGATATTATGGAAAGATGTAAAGTTTAAGGTGATTCTCAAATGAGCATATTAGAAAAAGCATTTGAGGGCTTATCAAGGGACCCAATCAAAGAATGGACAACTTGGAGGATGCCACTGTAGCATTGATTAGAGCATCAGGTTTAGATTCCAAGTTGAACAAACAAGAGATGCAGGTGGATGTAGTGGTTCGTATGTTGGAGAATCTAGGCCAAAATTATTGTAGTTTAGGAGGAGGGAACAATTTTAACAACACACCACAGAGGCAGGTAAAAATCAACTTCCCTCATTTTGATGGAACTAACCCACATGGTTGGATATTCCATGTAGAGTAGTACTTTGCATTTTATCAACTATCCAACCCACAATGCGTCATCTTTGCTTCAGTTCATATGGATAGGGCAGCTGTACCTTGGATTCAGATGATGCTAAAATCTAATCTGATCAATTCTTAGGGTAGTATAATATAGGCTGTTGAAGCATATTTTGGTCATAACTAATTCGAGCTTAAAAATGTTTTGATTACTAACTCTATAAAGTTTTTAAAGTTGTTCTATTTACTCAAAATGAAACTAAGTTGAAAAAGTCATGAACACTTGAATTCTAAGCTTTGAAAAGGCAATTGTGTAAAAAATTAGTTTTGACTTTTGGTTGGTCATGTTTCTTCTCATATCTCGCACGACAAAGAATCATTTTAATGTAAAACATATCTCATTTGAAAATAGACTCTAACAAATTTTCAATGATAATTTATTTACTCAAAATGAAGTTCTATTGAGAAAGATATGAACTTTAGAAGTTGAGTATTGAGATATTAATTTTGCACAATATTAAGTGTTGACCTTTGTCCACTCTTTTGATCATATCTCAAAATATACGATGAATTTGAGTGTTAAATTTATTTCATTAAAAACTATACTTTAAGAGCTTTCTAAATGTATATAATTTATCAAATTTGGAGTTATATTGAGTGAGTTAGGACATTATGAAATTATATACAGTGAAACTGCAAAATCACGCATGAGAGCAGTAGTCACGTAGGCATGATGTAGTACTAATGCTCAATCTCGCATGAGAGCACCTTGTGTTCACATGTGAAATAGCACCCAGAAGCCTATTTCACACTGAATAGTCTCTGTATGCTCAATCACACTTGAAACTACCTATACAACACGAGAAATGACCTCTAGATAGAGCCGGTAATTCTAGCCGAACCCGACGGGCTAGCCCGAACCTGCTCGAAAAAGGTTAGGACCGAGCTTAGAAAAAAATAACCTTTTTATGTTCGGACCCATTCGGGCTATAACTTTTTTATGTTCAGGCCTAATCGGGCTAGCCTGAATAAGCCCAAGAAAATTTAGGCCAAGCTTGATCGGGTTCGAGCTTGGTCTGAATACCCGAATAAAAATATTTTATTTTTACAAAATATATTAAATATGATAAATATTAATTAATTAATTAAGTTTTAGGTTATTTTATACTAAAATAACGTATATTTGAGTCCTATACATCATTTAAGTATCAAAAAATATATTTTATATTTTTCATAAAATAAAATAATTAATTTTAAAGTGAAAAAATGAATTAAAAATGATTTTAAAGATATAAATTTGGGTATTCAAGCCACTTGAAACCCGAAGAAATTTGGGCCGAGCTTAGCTATTTGGTCTTCTCAAGGAGTCGGGCCTATTCGGGTTCAGGCCTATTTGGGTCGAGCTTTTCGGGTTAAGCCCGAATAAGTCCTGCCCACCTGAATTCCTAGCTCTACTCCAGAGCCTTGCTTCTCATACTATGACTTACATGGTCCAAATCACGTATGAAGACACCTTGCTCCCTTGCGTGATTTGTCTTCTGGACTTTACAACATGTTTTTTCTTACGTGATTTAGCAGGTCACTCTCAAGATATTGCATCTATACATAAGAAACCTCCAAAACATGCATTTTCTTGCAAGATTCAGCACTGGTCACACACAATAAAATGCACCAACGGCTATATTCACTATGTAACATCTCTAAATGATCATTTGATGTCTCTAATACTTATTTCACTCCATGAGCTGTAAATTTAACACTTCAAACTAATCTAAATGAGAGATTAACCTTAGAAATCATTTAGCCATAAAATTTATGATCATATTACTCTTATTATATGAAAATCATTATGCTTAAGCTAATATCATCTATATCTTTATTATTTGAGTATTAAAGCTTCATTGTACTCATAATTACTCTTAAAAAGAGTTTCAATTAAGTAACTCACATACTCAACCTTTGTAAAGGTGAGGGAGAGATTTTTCCTGGAATCAAGAGAGATTGTTCTCTTGGGAAAAGAAGCTCACTGATAAAGTGAGTTGTTGTAACGACTCATAAGTTCCTAAACTGAACTTGTGAATGTACAGAGGTGACAAGAACCCACTCAAGCTTGTATTATAGTAAATAAATTTCAAGTAGTTGCATGGGGACTGGATGTAGGCTCAAGAGGAGGAGCTAAACTATGATAAACTATTGTTTGCAATCTTTCTTACCTTAATTTTTTACATTTCTAGCAACCTTAGCTTATGTTATGTTTTAGTGTTCAAAATATAATTTGATATATTTACTTGCTTTTACTTGAACTTGCACTTAGAAATTGCTTTTAAACATTTACACACATATTAAGCTTGTGAAAACAACTTTGGCATTCTTACACACATAGTTTAGAACTCAATTTTGCCAAAACCTTCTTTTGAACATAGTTTTGCTGAAAAGTTTTAAAAGAATTAAAATTTCCTCAAACATCTAATTCACCCTCCTTTTGGGTGTTTTTTGTAACACACCAAAATTTTTTTTTTTAATAATTTAATTCAACCATAGTTGGGTTACAGCCACCCAACACATTTTTATATCAATAATTTCGATATAAAATATTTTATAATTGGCTTCAACTCACACACTATAACATTTCAGATAAATTTTTACCTCCCACATGCCATTAGGCTAAATCACATTTGTCCATCCTTATACTCCCAACAAGTAAAATAAGCAATTTAGTCAATTTTCAACACAAGCCAGTTATTTGGCCTTATAATCATGCCATTTTAACCAATCCAAAGTAAACCAAATATTAAAATTACAGTCATCCAAATTGTACCAAAAATAGAAATAGTTTGAAAGGCATGATTACATTTATATATTCATATAATTGACAATAAACATAAAAAAAGTCCTAATATTGGCAATATAACACATTATAAATCATAAATTAAATACCCAAAAGAGACAGTGGATCTATACCACTAAGCCTCTGGGACTCCTCCACGTGTCACTCGTGGCTCTTCTCCTGAAAATTGTTAACCACATAATGAGACTCAAAAGTCCCAGTAACCAAAGCCAATTTATGATAGTGTATACAAACAGTTAAGTGTGTGTTACTAAGTGAGAATTAAAAATAATATAATTCCAACAAATATAAAAATATTACAATACACACAAACAACCATCCTTATATCCCTCCATTAACCTCGAGCCGTAGCCCTCACTCGGTGCTAAATTACCCGGCCAAAGGTAGATTAGCCCGAGCCCTTACAAACCACCTATTGAGCTCCAATAGGGGCGTACCACGTGGCACATAAATATAACAACAATAACAAGTCTCCCAACACCTCCCACAATAATCAAACAAATTCATAATAATATTGCACAATTATACAATATTACAAAATTCATAATTTTCTCAATAATCACCCAATTAACATGAAGTAACACTAATCACAAATTAAAAGCATGGTTACCTTGTGGCTTTTTCAATAAATTATTCCTTAAAATTTCTCTCTCACCACAATCTTCACCAGTAATACAATCTACAAATAACATATTATTTATAAATATTAGTTTCAATTTTGAAACTAATAAAATAATTCTAATAATAGAATTAAAAATATAACATAATTCCTAATCTCAATCTTAATACAAATCTATAGTTAATACTATTAAGTATAATTTTTAACTCCTCTTTTAATTATCAATAAACATTAATAATCTAAAAATCAACTTCTAAACTAATTTCTATTATCAAAATTTTTCTTTTATTTCATAAATTCGTACCTAAAATACCCAAAAATTAAAAATTAAGTCTCTAGCTTAGAATCATAATCCTATAACCATAATAATTCATTTCTCATCCCAATAATCATCTAAACCTCAATAAATCAACATATATTTTCAGATCTAGTTAGAATTTGATCCATAAGCCACAAATTCAAAGATCATCAATAAATTTATACTCTAGAACATTTATTATACTACTGACAACCTCAAAAATCATATTTATTCAACATAAATTCATCCCTCTTCCAGATCTTAAATTTTCTACCACTACAAACTCAGAAACTAAGAAGAAGGATGACTAAGAAAAATTTTAGAACACTTACTTAGTCTTGAAAAGCTTAAAATCACACCCTAAATATCCTATTAAAAACTCTTACCTTAAAAATTTAGATATTTCGCACCGGTGACTCGCGTTCTCTCCGCCTCAGCTCGCGCGCGGAATGAATGAGGAAATGAAGGAAGGTGAGTTTTTATAAAAATTCAGTGGGTCCCACATTTTTTTAATTATTTTCTCTCTCTTCTTCTTCTTTTTTTTTATTATTATTTTATTATTGTTACTGTTGAGGCGGCGGACGAAGCAAATTCGTTTTCTTCTTCTTCTTCCTTCTTTCCTTTCTTTCTTTTTATTATTATAATAATATAATTTAATAATATTTTATTTTTTTATTATTATTATTATTTTTTTATTTATTTTTTAATTTTATTTTTTTTTATTTTTTTTTTTAATTTTTTTTTAATACCTTTTTTTTATAATAATAATTAATAATACTTTTCAAAATTTTTATTAACCCAAATTAACTATTAAAATTTAAATTGGGATGTTACAATTCTCCCCTCCTTTTAGAAATTTTGTCCTCAAAATTTAAAATTAATAACTATTAACTACTCACTTAATCAAAAAGACGAGGATAATCACGTCGCATACTGTCCTCGGTCTCCCACGTAGCATCACCTGGAGTTGTGCTCTTCCAGATTACTTTAACCAATCTAATGGTCTTGTTTCTTAATTGCTTGTCCTTATAATCCACAATCCTTTCTGGTTCAGCTCTGAATGTCAAATTCTCCCTGAGTTCAATTTCCTCGGGTTCAATTATATGGGAAGGATCTGGTTGATACTTTTTCAGTTGTGACACATGGAATACGTTGTGTATTCCAGCAATTTGGGGTGGTAATGCTACTTGGTACGCTACTGGTCCAACTCGTTTTAAGATCTCAAAAGGCCCCATAAACCTTGGTGTCAACTTCTTAGCCTTAATAGCTCTTCCAACACCAGTTACTGGAGAGATTTTCAAAAATACATGGTCACCTACTTCAAACTCAAGCGGTCTTCTCCTCTTATCCGCATAACTCTTTTGTCTACTTTGAGCTGTGAGTAATTTTTGCTTGATTAAAGCAATCTTTTGGGTAGTCTCATCAACAATGTCTGGCCCCAAAACAGTTCTCTCACTTAATTCTGTCCAACACAGTGGCGATCTACATTTTCTTCCATACAATGCCTCATAAGGTGCCATCTGAATGCTAGAATGAAAACTATTATTGTAGGCAAATTCAGCTAATGGTAAGTGACTATCCCAATTACCTCTAAGCTCAATGGCACACGCTCTTAACATGTCTTCAAGAGTTTGTATGGTTCGTTCCGTTTGCCCATCGGTCTGGGGGTGGTAAGCGGTGCTAAAACTCAGACGAGTACCCATGGCTTCCTGTAATGACTTCCAAAAGTTTGATGTGAATCTCGGATCACGATCAGATACAATATTTGTCGGCACTCCATGCAATCTCACCACTTCTCTTATGTAGATTTCAGTTAATTTTTCGAGAGAATACTTGATATTAGTAGCCAAGAAAATGAGCTGATTTGGTGAGTCGATCTACGATTACCCATATAGTGTCATGACCAGAAGATGTTCTAGGCAATCCTGTAATGAAGTCCATAGAAATGCTGTCCCATTTCCACTCTGGAATATCAAGAGACTGTAGCATCCCGGCTGGTTTCTGATGCTCAATTTTGACTTTCTGCAAGTCAAACAACGAGTTACATGTTCAGTTACATCTCTCTTCATCCTTGGCCACCACCAACCACGTCTTAAGTCATGATACATCTTAGTTGCTCCTGGGTGAATGGTATATTTACTCTGATGAGCCTCCTCAAGTAAGATATTTTTCAATCGAGTATCATTAGGCACACACACTCTACCTTTATATCTTACGACATCATCATCGGTCACATCAAAATGTTCAGCCTTTCCAGCCCCAATCTCTACCCTAATCTTATTCAAATAATCATCCTTCTGCTGCGAAATTCTGATTTCTTCCCAAAAATTATTCTCAAATTCAGTAATATGTAGAGCAGCCAAACGATTTTCGACTACTTCTACATTTACTGCATGAAAACTACTCCATAATTCATGTTCTCTGACCATCATGTGAGCAGTATGTACAAGCTTCCTGCTCAGAGCGTCGGCGACTACGTTAGCTTTCCCTGGATGATACTTCAACTCAAAGTCATAATCCTTCAAAAACTCAATCCATCTGCGCTGTCTCATGTTGAGCTCCTTTTGATCAAACAAATATTTTAAACTTTTATGATCACTGAAGACCTCAAAAGAAGAACCATAAAGATAGTGCCTCCAAATCTTCAAGGCAAATACCACAGCAGCAAGCTCCAAGTCATGAGTAGGGTAATTTTCCTCATGAGGTCTCAACTGTCGAGAGGCATAAGCCACTACTCGATCCTCCTGCATCAATACACAACCTAAACCTTTCTTAGAAGCATCAGTATACAAGGTATAAGGAGCAGTTGGAACAGGTAAGGTGAGCACCGGTGTGGTGGTCAACCTCTTTTTAGCTCCTGGAAGGCAACTTCACACTCGTTCGTCCAAATAAATGGAGCATCTTTCCTGGTCAACTTAGTCAAGGGCATTGCAATTTGTGAAAAACCCTTAATGAAACGACGATAGTAGCCTGCAAGACCCAAGAAACTCCTAATCTCTGTCACACTTCGAGGTTGCTCCCATTTCATCACTGCATCTATCTTACTAGGGTCCACTGCTACCCCTTCTTCTGAAACAACATGGCCTAAGAATTTAACTTCTTTAAGCCAAAAATCACATTTGCTCAACTTGGCATAGAGCTTGTGCTCTCTTAATATCTCCAAAACAATTTTAAGATGTCTAGCATGGTCCACCTCATCTCGAGAATAAATAAGTATGTCATCAATAAAGACTACAACAAATTCATCGAGATAAGGCCTGAAGATTCGATTCATATAATCCATGAAGACAGCTGGGGCATTTGTTAACCCAAACGGCATCACTAGGAACTCATAGTGCCCATATCTAGTCCTAAAAGCAGTTTTAGGGATATCCTCTGCTCTAACCCTCAATTGATGATACCCTGATCTTAGATCAATCTTAGAAAACACCGCTGAATTGACTAATTGGTCTAACAAATCATCAATTCGAGGTAAGGGGTACTTGTTCTTGATGGTTACCTTATTCAATTGTCTATAATCAATACACAATCTAAGGCTTCCATCTTTCTTTTTCACAAACAGTACCGGTGACCCCCATGGTGATACACTCGGTCTGATAAACCCCTTCTCTAACAACTCTTCAATTTGTCTCTTCAACTCAGCTAACTCCGATGGAGACATCCTATAGGGTGCCTTAGAAATAGGCCCCGTACCAGGTACGAGTTCAATCGAGAACTCAACCTCTCGTTCTGGAGGCAAACCGATCACTTCAGTAGGAAAGACGTCAGGGAATTCTCTCACTACTGGAATCTGATCTACACCTTCTTCAATCTCTGCCTTGATTGAGAAGAAAATCATAAAAGCTTGACAGCCCTTTCTTATACACTGTTCTACTTGAGCTGCAGACAACAACATAGGACTTTGGGACTCTACAGGGGTTACAGTAAGAGCTGAGAGTGACACACTCTTTTTCTGACAATCAAGTACAGCTCCATTTGCAGACAACCAATCCATCCCCACAATAACATCAATCCCAGACAAAGACAAACAAATGAGGTCTATGGTGGTCTTTCGACCCTCATACTCAACCTCTACATTTAGACATGCCTTAGCAGTCCTTACAGTCAAACCAGCAGGAGTAGAAATCTTCACATCAAAAGGTAAGGTACACACAGGCAATTTACATCTTTTCATACATTCATCAGACACAAAAGAGTGTGTAGCACCCGAATCAAACAAAGCACAAACATCATTATCAAGGATTCGGATTATACCTCGGATAGCATTAGGGTTGTTAGCAGCCTCTGGCCCAGAGAGGGCATACACTCGTGCTGGTACTGTAGGTCTCTGATCATTACCCCTATTCTGATTTTGATAGCAGAATCGGGCAATATGACCAGGCTTCTGACAGATGTAACAAACCCAACAATCACCAGAATGAAACTTCCCACACTTACTGCATGCTTGATTACTAGCAGCACTAGGAGTAGGATTAAAGGTAGCTGGGCTCCTATAGGACCCTTGACTTCCACTCTGATTCCCTCTGTAGCTCTGGCCCTTATGATAGTAGCCCTTCTTCTTCTGATTTCTAAAGCCTCCAAAGATTTGACTGCTCCTCTTCTCTACTCCACCAATGGGTCTGGTGTGGATAGGGGGCTTCCCATGAGGTTCTTTCCTCCTCTCTCTATCAGCTTCTAATCTAGCCTCTCTCTTCCTCCGAGAAACTATTCGAAGCTTATTGCACATCTCACTGAATGTCTTGATCTCAAAAGGGGCTAACTGTTCCCTTAGATCAGGCCTCGCCTTCTCTAGTAATCGTTCAGCCATCCACTCCGTGTCTTCATGTTTCTGGAGGTAAGTAGAGTATTTAGATAATTCTGAGAATTGTTCAATAAATTCATCCTCATCTAAATCACCCTGGCGAATGCATGAAACTCAGCCTCCTTTTCTGCTCTCAGTGCAGTAGGAAAATAATTCTCGAACAATATGGCTTTAAAAGAATTCATCCTTCCCTGATGTTTCCCACCATTTCTTAGCACTCTTCTGTAGTAGGAATATTGCCAGCTGCACCTTTTGATTAGAAGTGCACACAACCATACGAAAAATACTCTCCAATTGATCTATCCATTCTTCAACCACCGCCGGCTTAAGATTTCCATCGAAAGTAGGAGGATTAAACTTACGAAAAGTACTCCAGATCTTTGTGATCGTGGATGTCTGTTGCTCAGAGTGGAGACTCACATTCTTCGGACTAGTCTCATGGTGAGAATAAGGAGGTAAGCCTTCATCAGCAGATTGGCTCGCATTGAATACCTTGGTATGGCTTCCTTCTTGTTGGCCATTTCCCTCTCGGTTGTCATTCTCCTTATATTGTCTTAAAGCGGCCAACTCTTCTTCTTGTCTCTTCATGCGGTCACTAAGATTATATAGTAGATCCATCATTTGCC